ATCTGCACATATATGTAAGTGTACTCATGTTGTGCAGTGCCCTCAGAGGTCAGAAGAGGGCCCCATCTCTCCAGCCTGCCCCCCCACCTTTTAAAAAATATTTTATTTATTATTTTTATTTTATGTGTATGAGTGTATTGCCTGCATGTAGGTAGGTACACCCATGTCATGCAATGCCCGTGGTTAGAAGAGGTCATTTGATCCCTGGGAACTGGAGTTACAGGCAGTTGTTAGCTGCTATGTGTGTGCTGGGAATCGAACCTGAGTCCTCTGCATAAGCAGCCAGTGCTCTTAACCACTGAGCCATCTCTCTAGTCCCGTACGCGAGTCTTGTCCCTGACAGTCAACACTAGCTTGGAGGTTCCCAGGCTGTAGTTTATTGTGATGTTCAAGCTGAGCACATCTAGGATACACAGTCTAACCATTGGAAATACCCCAGCCTATGTGCAGTGGCCTATAGTTTTCTGTCAGAGAGTGCTTACTGAAAATCATATGAGTATATATACATATAAAATGTAAGCCATTATTCCCTATTGATTTGAGAGATCATAAACACTGAAATTATATTTTATAATATTTGAATGGCTGCCTCAGAAAAATTCCTAATTCAGCACGTACATATTTTGGCTCATAACATTTTCAGTACAGAATGCAGTAACAGATAGCAGACAGGGCTGGATTAAAAGTGTCTCACATCTATTTCAACCACCCCCTCAGGCTCAGGAAACATCTCAGAAGTGGAAGCCAGAAGAATGTAAGAGCTGGAGGATGGGGAAATGTTTTCTGGACATGATATGGCTGTTGTACACATGAACTCACAGCAGCTGTGGTTACCCGCACAAGACTTACACAAAATCAAGCCAGTTAAAAATGCCAGCATGGAATTCAGGGGCTCCTAAGGTTCCACCCCTAAGTGAAGAGCTATTGGCAATTGATAGCTGCAGAGAAGGTGGGGGATCACTTTCTCTAGGATTGTAGCCACTGGTAGGTTCCCATGACCCAGCAGATGACTCCACATCCATGCACATGGGCAGCACTAACTGGGCTCAGCATGCTAAAAATAAATAAGTAAACAAACACACATTTTTAAAATATCTCTCAAGAAGCACTTCTTAATATCAGCAGCTGGTCTGATTTTTAATTTATGTTTTATTATGCTTGAGGTTCTTGGTGTACATTAAAAGATTTAAATTTTCTTCAAACTTAATTTGCCCTGAGTTCTTATATTTTTAGTAAGGTTTCAACTAACAATGTAAAATTGTTTTCTCTGTGGTTATGACAATTATCAAGGGTGATTAGATGCTCCATGTAGAGCCTATAGCTGATGTGAGTCATTTTTCTCATTAACACACCTTGGTTTCTTTATCATTTTGGTCTTAGCTTTTACTGCTGCCATTACTCAAAACTAACTCGATAAAATTCCATTAAGCTTTGTTTCTCAAAAATGCTTATTTCTAATAATGGAAATATGTAATTTCATCAAACTAATTCATTACAGAAAATAAATTCTCCAAAATATATTTAATCATACATAAGATTTATAGTTTAGGGCTTTAATGGACATTCATTTAATTTAACCAAAATTAATGTTTCATAGCACCCAATTTAAATTGCACTAATTGAAAAAATTATTGCATTTTCATTTTCAGTTTGTTTGATTATATCCTAATGAATGCAAATTATCTAAAATTTTTGAAAGAATTTTTGAAGGGATTGTATGCAACTCCCTTAATTCTTTATTCTTTCTATTCATATAATCTTAAATTTTTCAGATAATTTCCCACAATAATGAAAATTTTATTAAAACTAGAGGCTTCACAAATTCAATAGACCTCTCCCCAAAATAAAAGGTTTGTAAAAAGTTTAAGTCACTATTGAACTTCCTCCTTCTCACTAATGAAAATGCTTTACTTCAGCATTCTAGCAAGTAAGGAAGGATGCTAAACAAATTATATCAGCATCTTTCTACTAAACATCCATTCTACACACAAAATTCACATTTTAAACACATGCAAGGATAAGAAATTGTCTTCATGAAGTCTGTCACCGTGCACAATGAAGACGCATCAATAGATTTCTTTTAAAAATTAAAACAGAAAGCCTTCTTATAGGTTCTAACAATACCAAGTTCCATTTGTATAGTTAATTATGAGGTCAGGCCAACAATCAAAGAAATCCCATGCACTTCATTTCCCACAATTGTAGAATGACATGCTCTGCATGGGAGTTCTCAATATCTTCCAGAAGAAAGGGTCCAATTTTGAAAAGTGCTTTTAGTAGAAAGATGATGTAACAAAGACATCGACATAATTCTAATTTAGAAAGTGATTATGTCATAAATGTATCTCAAATTACTGACTTTTCTTAGTCGAGAGACATGCTCTCAGAAACATTAGAACACTATTCGGTAAAGTTGCAAAACAAACTAGAAAGCAAAACAATAAATGCTTTGAACTAGAAATTGCACAAGTTATGTGCTGAAAACCCATATTCCAGAAGACCCTGGATTCAGCGAGTATGTAAATTCATTCACGGAGAACTTATCAGAAGTTCACCTGCAAGCCTGAATTCCATACCAAATGCTACATAAAAACGTGAGTTGAAGCCAAGTGTATTGTCAAATGCCTATATTCTCAGCAGTTGGGAGGCAGAGACAGGAGGATCACAAGTTGGAGGCCAGCCTGAGCTACACAGCAAGATACTGTGAGAAACAAGAGAGGAAGGAAAGGGAAGAAGGGAGGGAGAGGAAGAGGAGGAAAGAAGGAGAGAAGAAGACTGGGGAGGAGAGGATGGAGGAGAGGAGAGGAGTTGGGAGAAAGGGAGAAAGAAGTGACTTTAATAAAGCCTTAGATGTTCTATACCTTTCTGGTTTTAGCTTTTTGTGACAAAACAGATTATTGCTTCTTAATATCAAAGCACATTGTCTAGGGACAGTTTTAACAGGAGTCTGTTACAAATCAAAATAAAAACTGGAAAACAGTAATGGCCTTCCTTCCCTTTATACATTGCTGGAAAATTGTCGTTGGCTGGCTTTACTCTGCTGCAGTGCATCTGAAAGTACTGCATCCAAAAATACAGGGACCATGTGGAAAAACACATTAGCACTTATTAATGTAGTTTGATGAAACTTAGAAAAGTAAAATTATGTGCAGTTCACCAATGATATTTCATAGGTGTTATAATATGAATCTTAATTAATTATTAGGTTTTGCAGCATAAAGTAGACAGGAAAGTAAGAGACACTGTTCTCCCAAGAGCAGTCTGCTACTTTGTGAAGTTCCTCCTTCTTGGTAAGAACCAAGAAAATGAGGACGCCATGAAGAAAACAAAGGCAGCCCACCAGGAGCCAAGGGTAGCAATTGTAAGATAAAAACGTGATTTAAAAGTATATACACATTCATGAAGGCACATTCAAGTTCATCATTAACTTTTTTACATTTTATTTGGAAGTTTTATACAAATTGAGTATTAACTTTCATTACACTTGATGCTTCTGTTATAATTATATCATATAAAGAAAATATAATGATTATTTTCACTAAAGCTCATATAAGCTGTTCCTTGAATCCCTTGAATTTATCCCATTATGACATATAAATATCATTTTCTGTGTAGGCATTGACAGAAGGTCTGAGAATTCCTGTCCAGTTAGACAGTGTCAAGTACATAATTATTCAGAATATATGTAGTTACATTTAATGAGGTTCAAGAGACAACGTCTTCCAAAAACAGTGGGAAGGAATCAGAAAAAACATGGTGTATTTACATGAAGTCCATTTTCACAGAATTGTTTAAAAAACAGTTTTGCCATGATTTTTCAAAAAATTAAAGTACAAAACTGAAGAAGAGCTAAACAAAGCTGATTAAAAAAGGCAAACTTCAATCTGATGCCATAATTATATTAATTTGAAAATACATCAGATATGACTAGCCCAATGATTACTTCATATGCCAATCTGCAGTATTTCCTTTCAATAAACGCTTACACTGAGGAACTGGTCACTTTTCCTATCTGTTCTCCTGGTGTCTTGCCATTTTCCCTCAGCTATGCCTGATGAGATGAACCACTCAGGATCTTTGCCATCACCTTCTCTAAGGGTTTACTATGTGAGCTCTCCCACAGAATCTAACAGCAAACATACACTTGTCTCACAAAAAGCACATGGGTCCTAACCACTCCAGTATGAGTGACTCCAGTCCTCAACACCAACAATGAAAATGCACTCATAAAATTTCAGACACATGTACCAAGAACAACTATTATAAGCTACTTTCTTCTTCCCTCTAAATATCTGAGCATGTTTAGTACCTGGTTATATAGAACTGTCCTTTTGGAAGCATGAGGGTGACATAGTCATAATAATGATGGTCAGCAGCAAATATTTTCTGTGGGAAAAGGAGGCCTAAAGTCGTCCCCATATAGGGTGCAAAATGAATGCCCTAAGTAAGCAAGCCTGATATATCCAGCTTACATTAAAAATGTTTGAAACAAAATCTCTCAAGCAACAAAGAGCTCTTGGAGCATGAGACTTTAAAAATGGTAGTAGAATCCAAATGCTATTGCTTTCATCTCTTAGTATTTTTGTAATAATAGATGTCATAGACATTGTATCTCCAGATGTCTTAAAACTTTAATAAATATATAGTTTGTAGAAAATATAACCTTATTGAAATGTCCCTTATATTCAATTAAAAGTAAAATTAAAACCTCAGCCTAGCACCTTCTAAGACATCAAAATCAAGTTCTATATCATCTTTGGTTAGCTTCCATAATCCCTACCCAGAAAAAAAAGTAAATTCAAGGTAGTAAAGTCAGATACATTGTATCTGGTCTGAAATTATAATAGTATTAAGAATATTAAAAATGTCTAGCATCATGTATGAAATCTGAACTATTAACATAAATTTGAACTAATATACATTTTTAAACATTTAGGAAAGGCATTAATGATAAAAGATATACTTTACATTCAAAATTGTGGATCATCACAAAATAGTTTTCAGCCTACAAGTAGAAGATCAAATGGCAACAAAAATATATTGCAACTAATTTTTTGAAATTGCCTTTCAACTATCACAAAAAGCTAAAACACTGCAAACAATTACTCAGTCGTTGAGGTGCACAGCAATTATGTCGAACAACTAGAGCCACAGTAAGTACTCATATACAGCATAATACAAACATGTAGTATAAATATTTTGTACCAACAAGTTTAATTTTCTAGTTAACAAAAGGATCCCTTTATTTTTGGCATGGTGCCAGAGGCTATATGGAGCCTGGATGCAGTCCAGTTTGTAGGTTCACAACACGTAGCACTCAGAATCTTCAAGTAGACGACAGTTAAAATGTAGGCTTGTTCATGTATTCCTCCATTGTCTGAAAGGGAACAATGACTCAGAATAATTTTTCTTTTAAACATCCTTTAGCAGACTACATGTCTTTTCATTGTCATCTTTTGCAATATTGAAAAAAAAATCAAAAGCATATACAGACAGAAATTTTTGCATTCCAATGAAGTGGTTTAAAGTTTGAATATCATTTGCATATATAACCCACATGGCTGGAAATACATCACTTTCAACTGAGAAAAAGCTAAGCTTGATCAGGAAGTGAATGCTTGATAAGAGAGATATTAAAGCAACAAGTGTCAAGATATCACTGTTAGTTTAAGGCACATGTGTCTGTTAATTGACCATGAGGATCACATGCAGACATGTGTACAAGAGAAGTCTGAGATGCACATGTGTAACATGTGCATTGGTTTCCTGTATTATGCAGAACATCTTCGTTATACTTACTGCCAAGTCTGATAAGATAAATGCAGCATGGTTCTGAAGATTTCTACTATGCGCTTAGGAAGGGCTTTCCATCCATATCCTCTTTCTCCATCCTACTTACCAGTTTCAAGTTTGCTAACAGGCTCCAAAGTTATTTTTTCCAGCATTTTCTTTGTTTTTAGTGTTTGAGCAGACTCCTAACTACAAGTATAGTTCCACAGTGTTGTTGCAAACCCTATATAGTACAAGTTGGGTGAACTTTTCCTTGCGTTCCTTCCCACTAAACAGATATATATTTGTGAAATGCATGGCCCCAGGTTAAATCAGTAGGAGAGCTCAAAGGAACAGCAAGGTGATACACTGTCCCAGTGTGACACACTGACTCACTGACTGTAAGTCCCAGTCAGCTTGGTTAGCAACCAAAGCTTGATTTGCTCTTATATATGCACCCCAGCATAAGTCCTCCTTTTAACCTCCTGGGGAAGAGTGACAACATGGCAATGAGATCAGGTCACTGGCCAACAGATTGCCTAGGGGACACCAGGGTTAGAAATCAAGTTTTCTAACTACATTCCCCGCTCTCTTTAGAATTTCAGTGCATCACTGCTGAAATTATCTATGCTCAGTCATTCAAACTTTCTTTCAAGTTCATTAGTCTCCTAAATGAGCACTGGGCCAAGAGAAGTCTACATCCTCCAAGACCTCTGCCCTGCATCTTCTTGATTGGGATATCCGTGCTAGATAGCAGCCCACTCAATCTGTAGAGTTTATCTTATTTAAAAAAGATTAAAAAGTTCCAGATACAAAATTAAGTCTAAAGTTTATTTAGAATAAGAAATGACGGTTCATTATTCGCTATTTTAAAAATGACAAAATAAAATGTAGAAGAGTATGTTATTTCCACTAATTGTTTAACACTATTATCTTACATGCATTGTATGGCTATATAATCTTTCCTGTTTAAAAAAAATCTTACTTGTGTAAATTTGACTAAAATGTATTGATTATATAAACACATTGTGAGGCCCTTTTTGCAAACAAGAAGCATAAACCAGTCAAGGGCCATGAAGTGGATACCTCACAGGCTCTGAGGTTCATTGGCCTTTGGTTATCAGCTCTGATCACAGCATTAGGCAACTTGGGGTCTGAACAGCACCCTAGCTGCCCCGGCTGAGCTATGCTGTCACTCAAGGTACATGAAACACTGACAGGAGTTTGTGTTTTCTTAAGCTTGCCACTAAAAAGGTTTAGAACAGACTTAAAATTGGTACAAGCTTAAACATTTGCTTCCCTTGCCTTCCCAAGAGGAGGGCTGGAGTCTGTATCTTGGGACCTCTTCTGGAGACTAACACCATGGTGTTTCTTATGCATTCTATACTGTATGTGCCACATCTTTCTCCTGCATTAGGGTTTTGGTTTATGCTTTAAAGGTTGAAAGTGTTGGGGTACTCCAAACAGCTGCTCGTGCATCTACATGTGTGTATAAACAAGCCCTCTGCTTGAGCTCTGTTTGACCTTCCCTTCTTGACATGTTGTCAGTCTGCAAAGATCATCCACTGATGGCTTTCCCCAAGCAATGATCCCAGGAATTACAACCTCCACAGTTAATAGTTAATGGTCACTCTTCCTTCAGTCTCTTTCATCTAACTTTATGTCATCTCGCAAGTTGTTGGGTAAGTCACCCACAGTCAATGACAGTTTCTATGTCATCACCATCTAACTCTAGTACACACAGGTTAAGCTTTGAGCTCTTGGAGATTTGAAACTGAGTCTTCTTATTAAATATTCAAAAAGAACTTTCATTTACCTCCCCTGTCCTAAGAAACTTCTATTAGGAAAAACCTAGGGGAAAAGTCCCAAGCTTCTCTTCAGTTGTTTTAAAGTAAAGGCAATGTTGCAAAGGCCTTCCTTAACCTACAGTGATTACAAATAATGTGCTTAGGTTCAAATGACAGGGTATAAAACAGCAAGAGTTTTCCTTTATATGATTTTAGCACTTTCTCCTACTCATTCTAAACTTTCTGAAGCAGACTAGACATGCAAAACCAATTTTTCAACAAGCTCTCCCAAATGTTCGTTGACATCACTAGATGAGTACCAGAGGCCACAAGGACACTAACAACACTATTTGGCAAGCTCTGTTCATTCACCAAGTATAACTTAAGGATAATCATGATATTGCCTACTCACTGGGGCACAGGGCTTAATTCAGGGCCTGGGAGATGAGCCAGCCATATTGTCCAATCAATCACCAGGAACATGAACCACCAATTAGTACTTTACTGTGAAATGGCTCACTCTTCCAACACCTGCTTCCCAGATTTAAATAGCACTAATAGAGATTCACTGAAAGCTCTTAAAACTGTTTCACACTGCTAGGGAGGAGGGAATTTTCAAAAGAACCCAGGTTTGTCTTGGCCTCAGTTCAAGAAGCTTTAATTACTGAAGTGCCAAAGACCCCATGAAAAGTCTGTCTTTCCTATAAGGAGCTTCCAGCTTAAGGACCCAGAGGGAGGGAGTGTTGAGCATAGCCTCCACTTCTCACACTCCACCTCTCCATCCTACGGTATTTTAAGAAATGCTGTTCTTCCGAATTTCCGAACCACTGATTCTGCCAGTGCCTTGTAAAATTCCCTTCCTGTGGCATTTGAAAAGAGCCAAGCAACACTGAGAGTTTTAATGCATTTCTTTATGGGGAGAACACCGCTACGCATTGGCCTAACAGGCACATGGAGCTGCTGATAGGAACCCACCCATATCTTTCTTCATGTCCACTCACCTGAGGACGGAGTCCCTCCATGGGCAGGAGTAAGTAATCAGCTCATAGTGCCAAGACAGTTGCTGGGAAATCATGCCTAATGTCTTATTACCTTAATCAGCCTCTTATTTTCAATAGCAGGAAGAATGGCTTTAGCACCAATTTTAAAAAGGTGCTTTATAATTCTTGAACTCCTCTTGGCTCTTGACCTGCTGTTATGAAAACAGGAAGATGGAAAGACCCACTGAGGCCAGATGTGCTACATGCCTTGTCATCCCAGCGCATGGGAGGTAGAGGCAGGAGGATCATGAGTTTAAGGCTATCTTGGGTTACACAGGAGGGAGGGAGGGAGGGAGGGAAGGAGGGAAGGAAAGAGGGATGGAGGGAGGGAGGGAGGGAGGGAAGAAGGCAGAAGAGAGGAAAGGAAGACCCACAGATACATGTGGGTCTAGATGAGCTAGGGCTCATCAGATCCACCTCACTTTGGAGAACAAAGGCCAGTAAAGAGAAGTGCTCTTTTCCACAGTGTCCTTGAAGGGGCTAATGTAGGTTACATTCCCCTATTAGGTATGATTCAAATCTGGGCTGCTACTAAAATAAAAGTTTCAGGCTATTTTATGTAGTAATCACAGAGTCAGGAGGAGCACCAAATGCATGCTTCAGGGCCCAATTATACCCAGGCAGGCAAGCCACGAGTGCTCCCAATTTATTTATGCAAACATGAGCACACGCACCTACAGCTTTCCCAAGAGAGGTAAGAAATTTTAATTAAAATGACAAATGCCATCTTCAACAGCACAGGTCTAATATTCCTAGCAAATGAAATCACTGCACACTGCTATTCTTCCTTCCCAGGCCTATGCAAATATTTTAATGAAAAGTCTTTTTATGCATCTCATCAAATTATCTTTGCAAAGAATAGCACCAAGTATTTGATACCCTTTTGAGAACAAGGTATTCTCAGACCCAAAATCTCAGTCAAACTGGATAAGTAAAGACTCAGGGACCCAGCTGCTTGGGTTCAAATTGTTTCTTATTTACTAACTGTGAATGTGAACAGGTCTATTTCACCTCTTGATGTCTCCATTTACTTACTATAAAAATGGGCTAATCCTACTTAGAATTCCTAAAAGAATTAGGTAAGCTAATCCATGTAAATTGCTTCAAAACTATACTCAGCACAAAGTGGGTATCATGCTCAGGGTGTTGACTAATATAATTATTAATGGAATCATCATCATTATCTTCACCATCATCATCATCATAATCATCTTTCCCCAGCATAGTAAACCACACTGACCTCTTGTAACATATCAGAGTCTTCAATGGCCTTGACAGCAGTTTTCTTGGATGTTTCTTGAATTTCTCCGCCTATTATAAACTCATCAAGGATAAAATAGGCCTTTTCAAAATTAAAGATAATATCCAGCTCACAGACCTGGGAAGGACAAAATAAATGTTTCGATAAAGTTGCAGTAGAATTGGTGAAGCATTCGCCACTGTGTCCAGCTTTTCCAACATTGCCACTCAAGTGATATGCCCAAAATAAAAACGCCACATGGTATGCTCAGGACAGAAAAATGGGAGTAGGGAATTCCAAGCCGTTAGTGAAGGTAAAATCAAATCCTGTTAAAGCAGAGTGCATCTTTAGATAATACCGTTTTATTTTGCAACAGGAAATTAGAGGCTAAGCAGAGGAGCAAGGCTCCTATTCACACACACAAGCAAAAGCTGGGCCCTGCCTGCTTTTCAGGGACAAGGTCGGAGCTTTGATTCTCCAGCATTCAGCTCTCAGGTTTGAAGATCCTGGCTGTCAGGTCAGTGAGTCACAAACTCTGAGTACATCAAACTCACCTAAAAGGTTCCTAAAAGCTATCCCTGCAGGTCCTACCCCAGGGTTTCTGGGTTGGAACCAAGAACCTGCACCTCTAGCAGAGTCCCACACAGCACTGAAGTTTCTGCTCAGAGGAACGTCACATTAACAACCACTGTCACAGACCAACACAGAGTCTGATGGATTTCAGTATGTAAATGAAGCAGGTAGCAAGTTACCACCGTAACCCAGACACTTCAACCAGAGAGTAATTCAGTACTATCCTTACTGACGTCCTCCAACTCCACAACTCACTGACACCTGACTTTCCTTTTGTATGTCTGCCCAATTAGAGCTGCTCTTTTTAAATCAGCTACATGAAAGACCTCAGTCCTCCCTCAAGCCCACCCTCGGTAGCATTTGAGTCTCTTCATCAATCTAGTTCTTGGACATTTCCTCTCTTTCTTGTTCTGATGACCTTAACAATGCCATCTAGTGTCTGCGGTCTTCCTCTGACTCTGATGATTCCTTCACAGACCCACTGGATGACTTTTCTACTCCTCCCCACTACCTGTATTTGATTAAGAAGGATGTATGGGGTCAGCAAAGTGGCTCAGTGGATAAAAGCACTTGCTTTGCCAAGCCTGATGACTTAAGTCCAATCACCAGGCCCTACATGGTAGAAGAAGAGAATCAACTCCAAGTTGTCCTCTGATCTCCATAAGCATGCTCTGACACACATGCACACCTCTTCTCCCCACACAAAATTTTAAAAGAAGTAGTTAATAGAGTGTTTAGGACATTTCAATCTGTAGAACAGCCCACATCTCCACCACATCTTGCTTTCATTCTGGCCATTCATCTTCTCCCTAAGTGTTGGTGTTCTTCCGTACAACCTCCTCTCTTTGCAACACACACTGTCTTCTAGGAAACTTCACTGACTCTCGGAGAGAGAGCCCCCTTCTCCTGCTCCTCTTTATCCCTTGGTTTTGCCCTCTTGATTTGGTTGTCAATTCCTATTGATTCTACCATCTAGATAGAACCCTAACCACTCGTCCCTCCATATCACAGCTGCTCTATCCTGCAGGAAGCTCAACAAACCACCTCTGATTCCCATCTGCCCAGTGGTTTCGCTTGCTGACTACATATCTTCACTTGGGCATTCTTCATTCCCGTATCACCGTGTTCCAAACTGATCCCAAGCCTATCTTTTTTTTAGTCCCTATTTTGTTTAGTAATCTCATTCTTACTGTTCCCTCTAGTTCCTGCTGGAGTTCAACTTATTTTCCCCTCCTTTCATTTCTCTCCTTCCCTTGGTCTTCCCTCTTGCTGTGGTCACTAATTCGTATTGATTCCACCGTCTAAATAGAACCCTAACCTCCCACCCCTCCATTTCACAGCTGCCCTGGCAACCAACACCTCTCACTGGGGCTATAACAATGATCTTTGACCATTCAAGCCAATCAATCACACTTTTCTAAAATGTTGATCTCATTCCTACCTTGTGTGGGGTTTGGTATTCAAGACAAAGTTAATTCCTCAGCATGGCATAGAGGATCTCACTACCCCATCCCTAACACTGCTTTCCTGTGCCAGCCTTCATCACGTACTACAGCCACACAAAACACCAGCTCACCATGTGTTTTTATGCACATGCCAGCAAGTCCTGGAATATTCTCCTAAATGCTCTTTCTTTTATTATACTGGCAAAAGTAAGCTCATTCAAGATAAATTCAAAAGGTCAGGCACACAATGATTCCCAGATCCTCTTTTCCCATTTAGACTTCACATTACATCCTGTAGATTCTCATGTCTTCTGTCCACTGGAATGAATATATAATCACAAATCATCCCCATATCGGAGCTCAGAACAAAGACCTTGTCTTGGTCACCTTTATGTCACCCTGCTATCTAGAACATAGTCAAATGCATTAATAATGGGATGTGATGATGGCGAAGTATGTGAATGAGTCAGCCATTATAGGCTTTGTCTCTGTTATTCTGGGATTAATGTCTTCCCAGATAAATAATTCTATTATTCTGATTGCTATAACTTTACATACAATGGGTGTCAATAATTCAATGCATTGCCTCATCAATAAATGTGCAGACCCCCCCCCACATAGAACATGGTTTATGCTAACAGATTCAATTGAATCTAGAATCATCTGAACAAACAATTAAAATACCACTATAATAAATGGCCATCTATGAAAAACTCAGCCAACTTTTCAGCAAAGGTTAGTCTCTTAGTTCACTATAAAGTTGCACTGAATCAACAATAAGTAGATGGATGGATGGTTGGATGAATGGATGAGTGGGTGAATGGATGCATGGATGGATGCCTGGATGGATGGATGGATGGATGGATGGATGGATGGATGGATGGATGGATGGATGGATGGATGGATGGATGGATGGATGGATGGATGGATGGATGGATGGATGGATGGATGGATGGATGGATGGATGGATGGATGGATGGATGGATGGATGGATGGATGGATGGATGGATGGATGGATGGATGGATGGATGGATGGATGGATGGATGGATGGATGGATGGATGGATGGATGGATGGATGGATGGATGGATGGATGGATGGATGGATGGATGGATGGATGGATGGATGGATGAGTGGGTGAATGGATGCATGGATGGATGGATGCCTGGATGGATGGATGGATGGATGGATGGATGGATGGATGGATGGATGGAAAATAGGTTTCTACATTTGTCCGTTCCCTCAAAAGTCTCTCTCTTGTTTATTCCTCTGTCTCTATATGTGTGTATCTGTATAGTTATATATGTATATATGTGTGTATATACATTCAGACATATATATTATCAATTTTAAAATAAGATTTGTTCACTGAGATATAGCACTATCAAAGAGAAAAATGGCATGATTGATAGAAGGGCACGTCCTCAGCTTAGGAACGCTTCCTTTAACTTTCAATTCTATAAATGTGAATGACAGTAAATAGATCAAAGCTTTTCAAGTAAAAATTTGAAGAGGTCAGAGTACAGTATGGGTCATATACCACTATAAACAAAGCTAAACTTATACAACAGACTGGGGAAAACATGTTCAAATACACATAATGATGGGGAGAGAGGACAGAAATGGGATTCACAATGTGGAAGGAATTCTTACAAATCCCTACCTAAGGGGCTGAAGAGATGGCTCAGCAGTTAAGAGCACTGGTTGCTCTTGCAGAGGACCTGGGTTCGAGTCCCAGAACCCACATGGTGACTCACTAAATCATCCATAACTCCAGTTCCAAGGAATCCAACATCCCCCTCTGACCTCCTCAGGCATTGCATGACACAGGCGTACTTACGTACATGCAGGCAATACACTCCTACACATAAAATAAAATAATAAATATTTTTTTAAAAAATCACTACCTAAGATAAACACAATATCAAAATAAATAAAGCTATCAAGAAATAATTCATCAAGAAAGAGAAAAAAAAAGGCCAACACAAGTCTAATAAGATGCATAGCCTCAAATAATCAGAGAAACTGAATTTATATTCACATGAAAATAATCATTGTTGGTGATGTATATCCACACTCACTGTTGATGGAATTTATAAACCTTATAGGCCATTTTGGTGAGTCAAATTAATATCTGTCACTACTAAACGTATAAATTATTGGGCACAGGCCGAGTGAGATGGCTCTGTAGGTAAGGGTACTTGCACAAGTCTGAGGACCTGAGTTCACTCCCCAGGACCCATGTAGAGTGAAAGGAGAGAACCAGCTCCACAAAGTTATTTTTCTGGCCTCCACATGCACAATGCACTGGCACACACACACACACACACACACCATATACACATACACAGTAATAATAATTAAAAAATTTAATTTATTAAGCCCAACAGCTCTATAAGGGATTTATTCCCATGCTATATTAGAATCACTGCCCAATAATGTATAAGAACAACAAAGATCCTGAGGGCATCATTTTTAATAATCATTGGGAGCAACCCAAAGTCCACCATAGGGAATTGTTCTAATAATATCTGTATACCTCCACAGTGGCCCAGGAATTCTGGGTATAATTTAGAAAGAATGAGGTTGTTTTACATGGCCAGATGTAGAAAAATTTTCCACACAGGCTTGTAATTAAAGACAATGAAGTTACATAAACTCTGCATAATGCAATCCATTTATTTAAAAAGTTACATCTAGAAGGATATGAAAATATGAATTCTTTTATAATTTTATGTAATTACATAATTCATAATTTTAACATCAGGAAAAAGAAATCACAATAGATTAGACATCCATGCACAGAAAAGAAAGTACTAGAAGAGATCAATTACCAGAGGCAGGAGAGGCAGAAGTCAGGAGCTGTAGTAGCAACAACAGAGAAAGCTCAGCATTCAAGGTAGGTGTAGACCAGGAATCCACTGCAGAGAGGAGCCTCGCTAGGATAAACCAGCAAGAGTAGAACCGACAGACACTCCTACACTTTCTCTAGGACCTTCTGACACCCCACTCAGAGCACAGCCACCTGTTCCCAGTCCTGAGGGCTCTTTCAATAGCCGTGGGGCAATAAATTCACCCTACTTAGCTTCAAGGGATTAGAACAAGGTGAGGGGGATAAACCAGCAAGAGTAGAACTGACAACACTCCTACACTTTCTCTAGGACCTTCTGACACCCCAGCCACCTGTTCCCAGTCCTGAGGGCTCTTTCAATAGCCATGGGGCAATAAATTCACCCTACTTAGCTTCAAGGGATTAGAACAAGGTGAGGTTACATGCAGACAGATATCCACAATTACAGAGCGTGATGCAAATGAGCAACTATTTCATGTACAACTCCAAAGTGCCACACTACAGCCAAATTTCTTCTGAGAATAAGAGGCATCATTCAAGGTTCTTCATATTCCAATACAGGGCTGGAGAGATGGTTCAGTGGTATCTGAGAATAAGAAGAGGCGCCAACTCTGAAGAAGTTATGCAACATTCAAGGTTCTTCATATTCCAATACAGGGCTGGAGAGATGGTTCAGTGGTTAAGATCACTGACTGCTCTTGCAGAGGAACTGGGTTCAATTCCCAGCACCCATATGTTGGCTAACAACTGTCTGTAACGCCAGTTCCAGGGGATCCAATGCCCTCTTTTGATCTCTATGGGCACTACACGACACAGGTGCACCTACCTACATGCAAACGATATATACACAAAATAAAAACAACATATAAAATATTTTTTAAAATACTCAAATACTTCTAAATTCTACCTTAAAGTTCTGTCCCGGTATGTCAGAACTATGCCTTTGCTGCTCGGAGACTCATCTAGTTATGTAACTTTATGTGGTCTGCTCTTCCACAATCCATGCTAATAAACAAAAGGACAGGACCGCTTTGCTTCCCCCCACATGCACCCTATGTATGTAGGTTTTGATATACAACTTACAAAAGCCAGAAAGTGACCATTTATCATTCCTTCCTAATCTTTGGTTTTACTATTGGCTTAAAGCTCTTCTCTTTCAGCAGAATAAATACTAATCTGAGACTTTTTCTTGACATTTCATTAATGTGGAATCTGAGAGCATCTGTCCTTCCTGAATTCTGTTCCAAAGTAAATACAAGAAGTTTCAGGTTACATGAAGGAAATGTTGTTCAGATAATAAGAAATACTATAAAGCTATACAAAAAATGATAGCAATAAAATACATAACTAGCAATTAACAGTTTTATAAAGTTTTGCTCTGTACTGCCTTTGACCCTCACGATAGCCCATGAGGTTAGCAAAGTCTATTAGCTTTTTGGGTGTCATTTTCTTCATCAGTAAACTGGGTGACAGGTCTGAAATCTTGGGTCTGGCTAGTGTGTGAGCAACACCAGCATCTGTGAAGACACTTGATGCTCTTCCTTTTACGAAAGAAAATCTCTCTGGGTCAAATTCAAAAGTGCTTTAGGGCAGCAGCATCCACACACTGAATACATCAATAAAAATGCATCCTGCGATTTAGAATGATAATACATCAGGTATCTAACTCTTCAAACAGACCCTCAACAACTAGGAAGCTCTGAGACATTTCTTCTTAGCCTCTGTAAATTGGGGTTAACGTTTACTGAAGATAGAAAGACCAACTAGTTAATCCTTATAAATCTCCTTGGAATTGAAAAGTGCTAAAAAATATTACTTAAATTAGTAACCAGAAATTTTTTATTTATCTGTCTTCAGAATACTGTAATTTCAAAAGTTATAAGAGAGGTTCGATACAAAGTCTTCCCTTGTACAGTATGAGGGCAGTATTCAAAGAAATCTTTGGCATTAGCATGAGAGGAAAATAAATCCAAAGAGAAATACCTTATTTGTGAGACAGTGTCTATGAAAATCAGCCCTGGAGGCCTTTGCTCATCACCGTTAGTTAATAAGAACTGAACACCTATTGGGCACACAGCCTTGAAGTGTTCTTAGCTGCTCTTAGCTTAATGAAAGATTCATTGAACTTTTTAGTGAATTAAATTTTGGTTCCTGACAAAGAGCTTCTAAAGGTAAACCAGAATAGGTTGGAAAGTTAATGTTCAAGAAACAGTAAGTCATTCCAACTCTCCTCATGAGTTCCCGAGGCGTAGCACTGGGGGAGGTCATTCAAATTCTCTTAAAAAGTGATGTGCTCTGAGATATCTGGTTGAATTTCAGCACAGAGAGCTCAAAATTCACCTTCAGGTCACATGATCACAGTTGGTTTAATCTAGGGAAACAGAACAGGTCAAACCAGCGTTCAGAAATAAGGAAGGGAAAGCAGATTAACGGAAAGCGCAGACTTCAAGAAACTCCTCCAGGCCCTTGCAAAAGGCCACGTCTGCAGTTCAATTCAAAAGAAGGCACCAAAATGCCAGCATTCCCTTGAATAAAAGAAAGGATGAAGTTAAATAATCTTGCATTTTCAAGCCCATTACTATATTCTCAATGGATTTGCTTTTCAAAAAATTGAAAATAAACTTGATGAAGAAGGATAAAGACGGTGCAGCTCTTATTATTTCTAAATATTGACAATAGCTGAAATCCCTGAAGCAACACGTTAGCTCTTATAAAATCATTTACAAGGAAAAAAACAAACAAACAAGAGAAAGCCAGGGGTGGGAATTCCTTTAGAACCCCTTCCAGCACTTATTATTGCGAAGTCTGTTGCAAAATTTCTGGTAAAACCCAACCAATGCTGAAAACTCTGCCCATTCCATTACAGAGGGAAAAAAAAGTGTGGAAAACTCTTCTAGAAGCAAATTCTCCCAGCACCCCTTGATGAAAGACCCCTGTGAATGAGGAAGGAGGCCGAGATCATGGCCAGGGGAACCTTTTCCCAGAGCCAATGCTCTTTCTTGAAACCATACATTTGCTTGGTGTCTCTGCTGCATTTGCTAAAATCTGGCTCAGCGGTATTTATAAATGTTAGGGAGAAAAGAAACCAAAAAAGTTTCTAGCAGGGGACTGGCAGGTTGGTGGTCAGGCAGTTTCTGTGCCAGGTGGGAAGTTCTGAGCTATTTCATCACCTAAAATGCTGACTATCACAGGTGAGCGAAGGGAACAGAGGGGGTGGAGGAGTGCTCTGAGACCACTGCTGTGAAGACTTAAATTGTGACCTAGGGAATGTGGGTTTTTCTCATGGTAGATGATGTAAAGTGATCAAGAAGCAATATCCCCACCTAGATTGTGCTTTATGATAAAGATTGTCACTAACAGACCAAGCAGAGATGCAAAGAGAGTTCAGGAAAAGGCCAAACAGGAAGCTTAAAAGTGAAATCCTCAGTACATCTACACCAGTAAGAGTGAAATGAAGGTGGATGAGTTTTAAATTCAATTTGAATAGACAGAAAGTTCTAGTAACAGACAAAGGCAGAGATGCCTGTCACTTTACATTGAAGGATCCTGGAACACAATAAACTCCAATCATCAGACAGAGCAGGTTTTCAAAAGCTGAGCATGGTTCCAGGTCATGAGAAGCTTAGTGAAGGCCATCACCAAGAGAGTCACCTGGCAGTGGATTTCAGGAGGGAGGATCAGCAGGCATACCAGGCAGGTGGGGGAAGACAGGCAGAGCATGTAGACGGAGGAGGAAGGAACTTGAGAAGAAAAAACAAGGAGGGTCCTCAAGATACACAAGACCCCCCCAGAGAGCTATGTCATGGCAAAAGAAAAGCGAATTCAAAGGATGAGCAAGGATCCAGTGCTGCAGAGAGGGCAAAGCAAGTTAAGGCTTAAGAAATGTCAATGGGGTAGTGTCTGTGGGGCAACAGTATGGTACCTGTGCTGCAAGATGGTGCAGAGTGAATGGATCCCGAATACTTCTCATCTGTTACTTGGACGTAATTTTTTTTTAAAAAAAGACTGTGGAATAGCAAGATGAAATAAAAGGATTTGGGATTTTTTTTTTTATTTTCTTGTGTGTTAATAATATTAACAAGTCCTTGTAGCGTTAAACAAAGTTAGAGATCAAAACAGAAAAGAAATGGCAAAGCCAAAGGGGAGTAAGGAACTAATATCAAAGAATCATTGACAGGTAAATTCTGATTCCCTGAAACAAGGTCTTCAGCATATTTGTGATCTGAAGGAGAGATGTGCATACCTCTTTTGAGTCTTTCCTTTACTAAGAAATATAGGTGGGGAGGAATCCCATGGGTTCTGATCCAAGATGGGCCAGCACGGTCCCTGGTACAATGCAATTCATATTTTAGCACTGAGAGAAAAGAACCCAAAAGAAGAGCTGAGGCAAGAGCCAAGATGGAGACTGACTCTAAAGGGCCAAAATGACACTTACATTTCCAAAGTATTTGTCCAGCAACTCCACATAACGATGTACTATTTCTAGTGTCAAGAGCTCATTGTCTTGATTTTCTATTGCACAGCAAAAATATAAACTAGCATACCTTGAAAAGAAAAAAAAAGAAGCAAAATTGGATGAGATATTAAACAACCTAAAGATGTTTTTCCCCAGTAAATCGGCAGTTTCCCACTCTCCCCAGAAGAGTCTCCCCATCAAAGAGTAAAACATTGCCCACAGCTTCCAGAATATTCCCCAATATAAAACAGAATATATAAAAAATACTGCAGTGATTAGACCACTCCCATTAATTACATGAAAAACTCTCAACAGAATTTTACCTTGCAGAGCTATGATCAAACGGACAGAATTCTTTGGTTCATGGTAATCTATGGTGTTTGTTCAAGCTTCTCTCTGCCTTGTATAAGTCATGTCTTCCGAAATCTGAACCTTCAGCAATGCACTCAGGGGTCTACGCTCCCAACATCTGGTTTTATATGACGTTTCATTACAAGTTGCCCACCCTCCCTTATCAAGTTCTAAATGCAGACTTGACAAAAAGAGTTTTGCCTGGGCACATGCCAGTAGTAGACGCCACTAAATGTCAAGCATACATAAACTATCTCTCTTTTCCCATCAGGCTTTAAAAACACCCTCTGCAAAGGCATTACTAGCATAATTTTCCTTCTAGAAACTCTAGTTCGATGTGAACCACCAGGCCAGGGTGGTTATGTTTAGGTTCTAATTTAGGCATCCATTTACTGGGTCCTATTGAAAATCTTCCTTAAACTCTTGTGCCTTGGATTTCTCATTTATAAACTAAGATTTCTTTCTAGTATGGTCTTATCACTTCAAAAAGGTAAATAAAGAGAATACATAGGTTTTTAAAAAGGATTTTTGTTTATTTTTATGTGTATGAGTCTTTTGCCTACATACGCGTAAGCATACCATGTACATGCAATGCCTGCAAAGACCAGAAGAAGGCATTAGATTCCCTGGAACTGGAGTTAAAGATGGGTGTTATCTGCCATGTGGGTGCTGGAAACTGAACCCAGGTCCTCTGGAAGAGCAGTAAGTGCCCTTAATTGCTGAGCCATCTCCTCAATCCATATATAGGCTTTAAAGGAAGATCTGGATTGAGTCCTGGCTCTACTGATTATCACTTAATTATTGTAACTAGAAACTAAACATTTAAACTCTGTGCCTCAGTTTACCCATCTGCAAATATGAACACATATAATAAGAGCTATCTGTTGAACATGATCGCTATTTCTCTATCATTTTCACCTGAATTTTTCCACAGCATTTGTTACTAGGTGGACATATATTGTTTACTTAATAAATAAGTAAAGTAAGTAAGTAAAATAAGTAAAACTCCCTTAAGACAAAAACATAATCTGTCTTGTTTGCTACGGAATCCACATCAGAATGATGCTGTGAATATAACAGGTGCTCATGGAATATTCTTGAGCATGTGCATGCATAATCCACATACACTGACGTATTTAGAAGCCATCCTAACACAGAAAAGTTGTTTTAATCTAAGGGAGTTCTTTACTAGTTCGCTCATGGTAGAAACAGTTGGACACTGCTCGTCAAAGATTTCAGAAAATGTAGGCATTGGTATTGAAATGTAAAATATTGAGGACCAGATGAAAACAAAGGAGCGGTGGGAAGTTCAGGTTCCATGAAGTTACACCTTTTATAAACAAGTTTCAGCTCTTTCCAGTCAATAAAGCTGCTTGTCCTGTGACCACGAGAAAGGACGATCTGGATGATTTCCCGGGTGATCTTTCTCCTCTCTTTGTCAGGGAGCGTGGTGTACCATTTCTGCAGCCGCAGTTTCCCTTGTCGACTGAAGAGCAAGATGAAATGTATCTAGAGCAAAAGAAACCCGGGGCTTGGTCAGCCAAGTCATTCTTCAAGGCAAACACGTTCAGTGGCTTCAGCCCATGAATGTTCGGTGTAAAGATATTTACCAGCCTGAAAGCCATCTCAGCTGATAAATTACATTTACCCATCAGAGGGGCAAAACATGATCCATCACATATATCAATTACTTCTGTTATAAGAAAACAACACTTTAAAAATTTTTAATTCCTTCCAAGAGTTGTAAACCCATTAAGAAAGAAAAACGTATCAAAGGAAGCAGTAGCACTCTTTGAAGCAAACAAATTCTTCCTTCACAAGCAAAACAAAAAAGGAAGAAAAGAAAAATAAAGAAAATAAATTACATCCTAGTTCTCCATCACAACCATGAAAACACAATGATGGTATAGAAAGAAAGGAAGGAGGG